TGGCCAAGTCGTTGGTGGTGGCGGTGCAGGAGGAGGAATCGGAGGTGGTTTTGGAGGCGGAATTGGAGGAGGTATTGGAGGCGGATTTGGTGGTGGAATCGGTGGCGGTTTTGGAGGTGGATTTGGTGGGGGAATCGGGGGTGGTTTAGGAGGAGGTATTGGAAGCGGAATCGGTGGTGGCGTTGGAGGTGGAAGTGGAGGTGGGAGATACAGTCCTCCTTCTCGTCTTTACAGCAGGCCGTAAGAAGTAAAACACCATTACTTTTTTACAATAGCTTTAATAATTCATTCTAAGTTTGATATGAACACATGGTTTGTATATTGTTACTATATATGCAGTGATGATTAAAATATATTAAAAAGACTCCTTATATAATTTCCAAACAGAGTAGCGTTTTCTTACTGCGTAAATTTAGGTCCGAAATATGGAGAAATCGTGTAAGACGTTGAGCACCCTTACGCTTACTATGGAGAAAAGGTAAATGTTTACAAAATGACTGATACTTGCATATCCTTATGTACACAGCTATACACAGAGATGGCAAACAGCAGCCTGCAGAGAAAATTGGCTGCTATTTTGTCATATATGACAAAATAACAGCCAATTTTCTCTGCAGGTTGCTATCTGCCATCGTTTGCAGAATATAAAGTAATTAACAATTATACAATATATATTGTAAATAGAAAAACGAAAAGAAGTACAAAAACAGACACGAATTTGTTCGATAGGATAACTATATATGATACTTATATATGTATAGATAGATACTAATATAGAGATAGATATACATATGGTATGGTATGTAAGTCTATATATCTGTGTATCTATCTACTTCTCTCTCTGTCTGTCTCTGTCTCTCTCTCTTTATATATATGTATACATATGTATGTGTCTCTCTCTATGTGTGTATATATATCATACATATATATAGAGAGAGGTAGATAGATAGATAGATATAGATATGTATATGTAATACATATATATATATGCATATATATAGTAAATATATATGCATTTGACATGTGTATATATACACATTGTAATATATACATACATATATACGTGTATGTATATGTATTTATATATATATATACGTATGTATATATGCAGGTATGTATACATACATATAGTAATACACACACAAATACACACACGTGTATATCTGTATGTATGTATATATACATACATATGTATGTTTTTTGTTTGTTTGAGTGCGTGTGTGTCTGCGTGTGTGTGTATGTGTGTGTGTGTGTATGTATGTGTGTGTATTATAGATAATTTATATTTATACATGCATACAGTAAAATCTATCTGTATACCTAAATATTAGTATGTATATATATATTGGTAGATAGATAGATAGATGGATTGATAGATAGATATAGATATAGATATAGATATTTAATACATATATATGCATATGTATAATATATATAGATATATGTATTTGACATATGTATATATACACATTTTAATATATGCATACATGTATATGTGCATGTATATATATTTATATATATACGTATGTGTATGCAGGTATGTATACATACATAGAGTAATACATACACACAAATACACACACGTGCATATGTGTGTATATATGTGTTTATATATACATACATATGTATTTTCTTTTTCTGTTTGTTGGTTTGCGTGTGCGCGTGTGTGTGTGTATTATAGATAATTCATATTTATACATGCACACAGGAAAACCTATTTGTATAACAAAATATTAGTGTGTATATATATGTGTGTGCGTGTGTATATATGTACATATATATATATGTGTGTGTGTGTGTGTGTGTAATACATACATATATATATATATATATATATATACGACACCTGCGTTTGAATTCTCTAAGCGATATGTCGTTTTCTCGAGCTCGAGCCAGTAATCATAGCGCAAGCATTTTAACAACTGCCGCGACGGGGAATTGAACTCGGGACCACGAGGGTCGGAGTCCATTGCTCTTTGTTATATGTGTATGTATATATCTATATGTGTGTGTGCGTGTGTGTGAGTATATATGTGCATATATACGTATATATGTGTTCGCTTTTTCATTATATATATGTGTGTGTGTTTGTGTGTATTATATATATACATATATAGAGGTGTATGTATATATAGAGAGAGATGTATATTTGTATTTTATTATATAGAGAGAGATGTATGTATGTATGTATAATATATGTGTAAACACATACATATGTGAGTATATGTATATACATATATATGTGTATATATATCATATATATAGGTGTGTATATATATATAAACGTTTATATATATACATATACATATATATGTGTGTGTGTATGTGTGTATGTGTGTGTGTGTGTGTTTGTGTGTGCATGTGTGTGTGCATACAAACATATAGACACTGTTTATGTGTATATATGTACCAGTAAGAGGTATGAATTATTGATGTGTTATTCGGGTAAAACATTACAAAGTGTGATGGGATGATCAGACAGCAATCTACAACCAGGTCT